ATCTAGCTGTAGAGAGTTTAGCTTTTACTTATATATGATGTCTTATCTTCCAAAATCCCTTTATTTTGCACAAAAGTTCAAATTATAACAAAGTCCTTCAAAATATCTTCTTCTCGAAAAGGATATTTTTATCCTAAACTTTAAAAATTTATTTTTCTTGATCCAACCGTTCAATTTTTTTCAAATTTCTATTTAATATAGATTCTATTCTTAAGCTTTACAACAAAAAAAATGAATCGTAAATCTACTACTTATCTTCTAACAACTTAGAAATTCTAGTAAGTGCTTCAAATCCTAATCTAGAAGCACCTAAAAACTATTTTCCTCATATCTCAAAAATCCAAATTCCAAATACTACAAAATTTGTACATAGTGCTTATTAATATAATTACACACAATTTAAAAAAATTTGAGCCAAAATCTTGTCAAATTGCTCAAGATATAGCTCAAAATACAACCACTAGTAAATTAGATTACTTACTATCTTTAGATTTAAAGTGTTGACTTCAACTTCCAATATCTCCTTTATTTCAACTTAGAATCCATCAAACAATATGCTAAAAGTATAGTTAAAAAAGTACTTTTTTCAATCCTAGTCGCTGATTCTTTATTGTTTTTTGTACGCACACGTTATATCCAAAAGAGTGACAGTAGGTATGAAATCAACACCTTAACTTTGAGCACTTATATTTCTTTCATATAAACTCCAAATCACACAAAAATTTCACCAAAACCATAGCCAAAAACCTAAACTTACTGAGTCTAGCCTCCAAAACTCAAATGGTCTTGAAAGAGTAATCCTAATCCCTAATAAGGCCTCAGGCAGCCTCCTTGAAGCCTATTAGGCATGTTTTTTGGCCAATAGGAATAGAGATTTTCATCATCCATCTTCATTCATCCATATAGATGCCCTAACTTCTCTTTTTGCTTTCAAAACCTCTCTCCAACTATTTTTTTCTAATAAGATTTACATAATTTATGCTCTAAACATCAATTAAAAGAAACACATATGTAAAAATAAAAAGCTACAAAAGAGTTAATAATTAGATTAGGAACTTTGGTTTGTTTAAAAGAATTGTGATTTGAAAAATATTGGAAGTTGAAAAAGTTGTTAAAAGGATTTAGAAGCTTAACATATTTGAAGAAGTTATGTATGGCATCATATAATATTTTAAAAGAGTTTCTAAATAGATTAATTATTTTATAGGCTTATTTAAAATTTACAAGTTTTTTATGTATAATTAAAAAAATAAAATGTCATATTAAATTAATATTTTAAAATTTTAATTCTATAATACTAAGAAGATGATTTAATTAAGATTAGAAAGACCATTATTATTACTATATTTTCTTATACCATCTATATCTATAATAGAGCCTTTAAATATCTATATATTTTTTATATTTTGGAAATTCTATTTACATACATTAAAGCTTAAAAATTCTAAATATAAAAAAATATAAATTTCAAGATATATTATTTAATTATTTTATATTAGTTAAAAAAATAAAACATATATATATATATATATATATATATATATATATATATTTCAATATTCTATGATTAAATCATTATGATTTTGAACATAGAACTTTATAAATTCTTTATTTTAAATATAGGTGTAATTTTCTGCCATTAAATTCCTGACATCAATTTGAATAATTAAATACTACATGATATATAAATAATAAAGATATCTTATTAAATTCCTTCTAGCTTTTTTGCTTGTCCCATTCTTTCTCTCTCTCTCCCCCTCTTTCTTCTCTCTCCATTCCTTTTGGCACTTTCTTCTATTACCAATATATTTTATAACAACCAAAATTGACAATAGAGATTTGAAGGCTAAGATGCCTTGAGCCAATTGATTGGATTATATTCCATTTTTGTGACACATAGTGATAAAAAAGATATAATATTTTATCATTTCATTTATTGTATCTATTGAAAACTATTTTGGAATATATATAAGTGGCTAAAATTAGTCATCTTATAGAAACTAAAGATGTAAAACCAAAAATAAGAAGAATCCTTGAAAATGATATTGCTTACTTTTAGAACTCTTAAGCATGGATTTTGAGTTCTATGAACAACATGCATTTTATATAAATTTATAAAATATAAAAATAAAAATAAAAATTACAAGCATTTTAATAAAAAAAAATTATTATATTTTATTTGAATGCATATAGTGTAAGTTGTTCTAAAAAATTATCACAACATATGTCTAATCATGTAAAATATCTATAAACATCTATGTTTTTGAGCACTTTATTTTTTTTACATATATTGTCCAAAAGCAAAGAAGTATTAATTTTAAAAACTTATATAATATAATAATATAATATTTTTTTTATCCAATTTCTTGCTACTACTATCATCACTACTTGATTTTCGCTTTTTTCTATGATAATAAGAGAATTAATATGAATCTAATAACAATAACATGAAGCTAGCCTCAAATGTTGACTTACTTACTTTATTTATTTATCCATTCATTTACATCCCCAAAATTGGAAGTATTAGACATATATGCAATTACATATGAAGATCTAAAGTAACCATATAAACGTAGTAAGATAAAAAAAAAAAAAAAAAAAAAAAAAAAAAAAAAAAACTACAATAATACCACATTCACTATTGTGCACATCTTAAATTCTTTTTTAATTTGAATATGTCTTCAAAAGATTTATCCAACAACATCCAACCAAATTTTTATATCTTAGATTAAAGTTCAAAAGTTAAAGATTTTCATGTTTAAGGTAGAGAATCTAAGATACAAATGGAAAGATATTTATATATAGATTAAAGAGAATTTTGGCTTTTCAAAGCCTCATCAAAATCTACCATAAGTAGCATCTTAAAGTAGTATAAAAATCTTAAGAGCATACAATTGATACATTTTTTAGCAAAGAGGGAACATATTATTTGCTTCTATGAATTGAACAAGGAATTGACAAATTAGATCTTGTAATAACTAGTAAGCAAAGAAATAGTGACAAAAGAGCTAATAAAATAAAATAAAAATGAAGGGAGGCCAACTTGCTAAATACTTAAAAATCAATCAAAGAAAGAATGTCCTTTGATTTTTAAATGGATGGTTTATCACTTCCAAAAGTATTTTTCTTTTAAATCATATAAGTTATTTGAAGAAAGAAGATTGATCAATATAGAAGTTGTTATCTCATAGTTTCCTACTTTGATAGAGAAGGTCTTAAAATATATTCTAAAAAATCTCTTAAATATAAAAAAATGAAATAAAAATACATACCTTTATTTCTAGATGGAACTTGACTATATAATTGCACATGAAAAAATTGAAGGAATAAAGAATGATAAAGCTTGACTTGTATTAGAATTGACATCAAATTAAAATAGAAGTAAAAAAAAATTATCTTTTATTGTTGGAATAAAAAATGTAAGCTATAGATCCTAAGATTCTATTCTTTCTTAATAATGCACCATCTTATAGAATAAGTGATTTGGACATTGAGCATATTGAGGTAGCACCACTCTCTAAATATAATATCAAAATTCTATTTAATGGATGTTGGCATAACTATTGCTTTCAAGTAACATTATTGGCACTTTTATTTATAAAATAGTAAAAAAAATATTATTTTATTTTTAAATAAAAAAATATTTAAATTGCCATGTCTCCATTAAAAATTACCAATTTCTTTCAACACACAAGATTATTCACTATTTACTACCAAGAAATTTAGTGTAATATGGATGAAGATATCATCAACAATAAGTTTCTAAATAGCATCTAAACACTATCCAATGTCAATAGAAGCCCTTCTTAACCCGCTTGCAAAAGCTTTAACCCTCTTTCAAAAGCTTTAATGGAACGTGAGTAGTTGTTTGATGATGTAATAGGACATGAGTGGTTATTTCATGATGAATTGCTAACAAACATTGCAAGCAAAGAGGTTGAAGTTTTTTGACTTCTATGTTGTGATCAAGCTCCTTGACATTACAAAACCTATACCTTTCTCAACATACATGATGTTGAAAGAACTCTAACACAAGCTAGGTGTCTTCAATTCCTTACAAACAACTCTAAATGTTTGAAATATCGAGTTGCCACCATAAAATGGACTTGGAAACATCAGAAGTTGTTGAGTTACTGCATATTGAGTTTTAGAGGGATTACTGTACTCTAGTCAGTTACACAGAGAGTGCTTCGGCTACAGAAGACTCAACTCACGCAAGCGGACAATGTATGTGTGGATCAGTATCAAACTCCCGCCAGTTCGAGCAACACAGCAGATGCTGCAGTAAAGAGTGGTGAGCTGGACCACGAAAATCTGCTTGCAGCCATTGGATCCATGGATACTCCTTTCACGCATCCGAGAAGATCTCCATCGGCGGACTTTGATTACATCCATGACGTGGTGAATTACTGGCAATGCACATGATTCCTGTGTAGGGAGAAAATAACTTAGTCGGTCACTGTAAATCCATGCGAGAATCCAGTGATAATGGAGCACATGGATTTGGTCTCGGTGCAAAATTGCCTGACCCAGTTTGCAGTTTGTTCTTGTGAGGTTTTGGATCCTACTCTGCAGAAAACTTCCGTCAGCTCAGCTATTAACCTTCTCTCCGCTTGAGTGGTAAATTATAATTCCCGCTTGGTGTAAGTAGACGGATCTCTATTGAAGCATGACGCAGGTTGTGGGGATGTAGATCTACGTCCCAGCCATTTACAGAGGCGGGCTCTTTTGCAGAATCTAGCGAGCAAAAACAGTTCCATGAAATAGGAACTCTTCAAGTTTATGTCTTCTTTAAAGACAACGCCTCGTGACATCGCAGCGTGCAGTGAATTAAGCGATATAACAAACACTATCACACCACTACCATTGAACAAACTTTCAACGTTTTGACAAATCAATTACATGCTCTTTCCTCCTTATATAACAGTCCAAGTCTTGAGATATCACAGTGGCGAACTCTACAATAGAACCTGAAGAACAACGACAGCATGGAGTATGAGTTCGTGTAAGTCCATATGGAATTAAAACATAGTAACTTCAGTTGGAAGGTTTAGAAGTGTCGATCATATCTCATGTCTCTGTTCTCTGCTACAAATACTGGAGCCTATTCTACGCAAAACATTATCACAAGCCACAACCACGATAATTTCCGTCATCGCTTTATTGTTTCTAATTCAGCAAACCAAACGGGGCGGATAGCACAGCTGCTTCTACAGCAATTAACCTAACATATCCTTATTTCAGAAATCACGCTGCATCATCCACCTTAATAAGAGTAACAACTCAAGTGCCTACCAAAATGTGTTTATTCTCAGTGTCAGTTTGGAAAGTACCTACAATTTGTAAGCTCCGACCAAAATATCTCTGATCTACGTCTAGCACCAACAGGCACTTGTACCCGTTGAGACCATATAATTATTTACGCTTTTGCACTCAAAAGGTGTAACCATCTGCGACCAAAATTCACAAATTTTTGCAACACCCCTATGATCTTAAGTGCCTCATGTTCTCCGTGTTTAAAGCTGGTCGTGTGTAACGTGGCGACGTGTGCAAATTTAGCACTAAGCGGTTGCTCCCGAACCTTATCGCTCAAGGGCACTTCAACCTGTGCCAATGAGCATGTTTGTCGCATTGAGCAACTTTTGGTACCCACATCATACTTCATCCTGTCGCCTCAGCACAATCAAGCGTCAGCACAAGTCGTTACGGAGATGAAAAAAAAATCCTGCGAAAGTTGCAATATCACCAAGTAATACCAAGCCTCCTCAATCCCAAACGTTGTGTTGTTAATCAACCACGAGTCACAATCCCCGCAACCTCAACATTTGCCGGCAGAATGAAGGTTCCAACCTGCGGTTTCGAGCATCAGACTGATGCACCTGGAATCCAGTTCCACATGTTGTGGCTCGAGGTGTTCAGATTGTTGGGAAGGTCGACAACGTCCGCCGTGTCAGAGTTTGTGTCGCGTGGGTGGAGGGCCACAATGGGCTGGCGGCAGAGAGGGCAGGTCAGCAGATACACGACACAAGAGAAGCAAAACAAGTTGTGTCCACATGGCTGCAATCCCACCTGCACTATGTCAGCTTAAACATGCAACAGTAAAACTGCACCATGCATCGAACAATATTGCGAATATTGCAATGAATTCTCTTGTGGGAGCTTACGGACATACCATGAGGTGGACGCTGGCTTGGTGTTCAAGGCAAACAATACAGACGCTGTCGTCCACATCCTCCTGCAAAGGAGAAGCCTCATACAAGCTGTACTCGGGTGTCTCCCGAGCAGTCCCCCAAGTAAAATTTGGCAGACTATCGCGCAGAAAATCGCAGTGAGGAAAATCGAACGGCGTGCAAGGAGTGCTGTCTAGGAAAGTACAGTTACTATCTGCATCGGATTTGTCGTCCTGCGATGGAGTTGGTAGTGGCAAACCACCATCACGGAAAAAGAACAAGCTTGATCCCATATGATAGGCTGTTGATGCAACCGCTGGTGGCTGACCCGCTTGGACATCTGAGCTTGCATCTAACCAGATACCGTTGTTCTCGCCGTGATTGTTCTTAGAACTGAGCGAATATTGGCTACGATGACCTTGAAGGTGGATGCCGCAGTCATTGTTGTTGCAATTGGTCATGTTGGAATTGATATAGCCAATTGACCGATTGTGCTGAAGGAGCCGCTGCTCGAGGCGAACTTGCTGCAGAGCATGCTCTAAGGAGGCCACAGATTGCTGCAGCCCATGGTCCAGAAGTTCAAACTCCGATACGCACTCGTGAGAATTTTCTAAGTCGGAGCTCTGTAAACCCATTAGCTGTCTCTCAACCTGGGGGCATAAGTTCAACAGGAAAGTTCAGTCAGCACACTACGAGAGGCAAGTGTCGATACTTATAAGTCGTTTAGACTCTTGGTAATGATAATGGTCAATGTCAGGATTTCCGCTGCGAAACATTACCTGAGGTTGCCAGTCGAAGAAGACATGCGATTGATGCGTAACTTTGTTGTGGTCCTGGCCGTGGCAATCCACTGCATTGTCTCCCTTCACTACCTGCTCCTGCGGTTGAATGAAGGTACCATAAATCAAACTCATGTGATAACTCATTTAATCATCAACGTATCGTTCTGAATTGACTAATTTCCGCACGGATAAGATCCATCTCGTTGTTGTGAATGAACACTGAAAAAGAGAGCACTAAAACATCGAATTGGTAAGATTGTTTTCAGATTCGTAACGTTTCTACTACTTTACACGAGAAGTTTCGACAACTGGTGCATTACCTCAGATACATCAAGCATAGGGATGTGAGCTTGCTGTGTTTGTTGATGAGCGGCCACAGCCTGCACTTGGTGGTGCTGCTGCTGCAAGTGTTGCAACCAAACTTGGTGTGGCTGAAATGGCACAGTCGTAGCCACTGGATCATTGAGATGTGCCCCTGGTCCATCTTCCGCCTTGGGTGAATGCTCATTGTCGTTGTTTGTGAAAGCTTTGCGGGGAGGGGGCTGGTAGTAAAATTCCACACCGTTGATGACGTGCTCTCGTTGCACGAATTCCCCTCGGCGCTTGCACTCACAAAGATCCTTGTACTTGGCCACAGCTTGCTCGATTAATGAAACTGCTGTCTGAACTACAGCCTTCTTCCCTTGAATACGAAACAGCCGAATAGGTATTGAATCCGGCCTGAACGGAAAAATCAGAAATGAACTTAGCCCAACATTCTCCGCGGCTCTTTCACTGTTTCTCCGAATCCCAGGTTTGCGTTCTGGCGACAAAAATCTGGATTAAAACAAAAGGCAAGTCTATGTTTGGGAGGAAAGTAAATACCTGCAAGATTCAGTCCACGATTGCACAATTGCGCCAGTGACCTGTCCTATCAATCTGGCGCTGATGCCTCTGGCACCGATCACAAAACCGGCAGCCAAGAGGGTCACCCTCATCAAGGCTTGTGTCCCGGCGGCCTGGTAATCAGTGCTCACCACGCGGTGATCCTCCGAAGGCAACATGGGTTGTACTCCGGCCTGGGCATCAGCTATGGTACTCCCACTTCGAGGTCCTCGTGCAAGACGGCGCCGACTCTCAACAGCTGCTCGCATACTCTGCTTCTGATGTTGCTTCTTGGTCGTAGAGCATTTTCCCGCCTGAGTCCACAATCTCATTACAGCTTCAATATATCAACTCATACTTCTGGACAACCTCAAAAACAAGCAGAAATCTGCCAAGAACTCATGCAACCGATACTAACCCCAGTGTTAAGTCGCCATAGACTTTCCCATCCCCACAGAAGAAAGGAGAGAATAGTACAAATATCGAAGATTCTTGTACCCAAACAGTGGGAATAAGTGGCGAGATAGATGTCATTTCGGTGTTGCTCCTACATCAAAGTTGTAATTTCTTTCAAGTACAGACGAAACAGAGCTGTTGAATATGAAATAATTGGGCTTACACAAGACCAGGTTACGCCATAGCTGCAGTCTCTCCCAACAAGCCTGTGATTCAGAGTCTTGGGAAAGTCCCATGGGGTTGTACGAAGGCCATTGGCAATGTCTGAGGGGAGCTGCTGGCTTCCACCCAGTGAAGAGAGTGAGTGAGCTTCGTCAGCTCGGTTGTGTTTAAGACTTCGCAGATGTTGATGGTCTACCAGTGCATTTTCAATGTCCTGCAGGAAGGTGGGAGTGGAGCAAAGAGGTCATGTGCAAGACACGGGGAATTTTAAATACCTACAACACCACTGTTGGCGTTCTTCGACAACCGCGACAATCTGGCAACAGACGTATATACTATACTGATGTTGTCTACATTGCTGAACTACACACTTTTTAACCTGTGTGAAACGTGAAGTACTCGGACGAATTTATTGGATTTCACCCCCATAGACCAGAATAGAACCTGTTTGTGGGGTTGCTAAGAAATCCTATCTCGTTGACGAATTTAAATCACAATAAGATTGGGAAGTCTCTGCCAATGATTAGGAATTCGTGAGTGTTTAGAGGGTTCAAGCCTATGGAAGTACATGACAGTAGCACAGAAGTTGATCAATTGAAATAAATGAAAAAGTCGCAACACTTCTGCTCTTGAAAGAGTTGCGAAGAACAAGGAGAGAGAGAGAGAGAAGAGAGAGAGAAAGAGCTTGGGGGGGCACCAAGCGCCGCGGATAGCGGTCTTGCTCCTCTTGGCCGCCACGCAGCTTGAGAGAGCGAGCAGCGTGCACTTTGCGGTGCTTGAGCTTCTTGAGCGTCCAGCCGCAGCCGGATGCAGTATCATGGGTAGTACATGCAGTCGAGGCAGACTCCATGGATCATCATCCTGCAAGCAGCTCCTGTACCTTTCCCGGACAACAGGTCACAAGCTGGAAATGCTTCACCATAAAATAATACTACATCACTCCTTTACACCGAAACGCAAGCTAACGGTTCACTGGTACCTCCGCAGGCTAAATAAACCCTCCGATCATCTGTAAATTCCCCTACCTTGTCTTTTCACTCAAGTACCCGTGCGCATACAGCCATTGCTCGTGATCGTCACCATTCTCAGGCAGTTATGGCCCGCCGCACGTCCGGAGCAAAAATTTGCTTCTTGTGCGACTCGGAAAATGGCCGCAGCTCCATGATTGCCGCTCAACTTACTGGCTACGTTTCGTGATGGGATCAAATGCGATATAGTTTTCACGACGGCCAACCTTTTAATCCTTCTTTCACAACACTCAGAAGATCTTATTCTGCTAAAAGTCGCCACCAATATCACGCGTGTAAAAGTGGTGCAATAGATCTCTTTCACGACTCTCGCCGATTTTGATCAATAGTTTTGTGCGAAACCTAAACACCCAGCTGAAGTCATCACAAAGTATCTCTTTCCTGTACTCTCGTTCATGCTGAAGTCATAATAAATGGCAATTCCATCGAGGGTGTCGCGACTCGATGCAACATGGCGCAGGAAACATGTCAAGATTCTTTTGGTAAGCATTACAGGTAGTTTAAGCATACGTGGCGACCACTTAACCTCCGTGTGCAGAATGGAGTTGCACATCGGGGGCACTCGCCAGGAGGTTACAAGTTACAAGCTCATTGTCTGTGCCGTTCGGTTCCTAAACGATCCAGCGTTAGAAGTCTTGTGGTGCAGAGGTAATACCAAACGAGGCCGGTCATGAAGACCACTAACGGCACCGTGATCAGAATTGGGGTATCACTCCAGCCTGGGTAACTGCCCCGCGCAATCCTGGTTCAACAGAATTGGGCAGTTATACACTGGTAATCTCACTCTCTCTCTCTCTCTCTCTCTCGCTAGCTCGCTCGCTCGCTCGATTTCGCTGATCAACCCATCCCAAACTATTCGTGGAATCTTGCTGTGCACTCAGATGTTCGTTGACACCACTGTGTACCTTCAGCTTCTCGGCACGGCACGCCGTCGGCGAGGCTCCAACGATTCTCTCAACCGCTGAATATTGAAGACTGTGAACAAACCTGACTGCTTCCTATGACTCAGGAATGTGAAAATCTGGTGGTTTGTGCCTCCGATCAGTGAAGATCCAGCATTGCAATCTTCACGATTATACATAGACCGCCCTAAACAATGGACCACTGGGCAGATCTAATCCTCGCGAGGAAGATGCTCATTACAGACGTGGGTGCTTCTGTGCAGCAAAATTAACAAATGCTCACTATCACCGAATGGAAGCCATGCATTTCGAAGATTTACGCCAAATGAGGACATTTAAAGATGATCGTAAGTTCCGCACAATCGATCCAATTCCTCGTGATGCGCGTCACCAATACCTCAATTTTTCTAACATGTTATTATTAATTGAATTTTTTTATTAAAAAAAACAAAAAACAAAAAGGTTTAAGGTTTGCAAAACCAACAAGATTTTTCGAAATCGGAATAACATTCCCTCCAAAAACCGATTAAGCCACTCAAATAAACCATACGCATGAGTCTAAATAGAACTCCCCAAAGCCATAGGTGCCTACACATTCTCCACTCTCACCATCACCTCAACAATCAACTCCCATTCTCCCATCTCCAGCATGACCAAATCAGCAAACGACATTGCTACCCACACAAGCAATCGAACAACACACAATCCCGAACCACAAGCACATGGAAACGACCCAGCATGCAGCAAAATCTCACCACCGCCTCGCAAGCCGCAGGCGCTACTCCACCTGTATGAGACATGGTCCAATTCAGTGGCACTGATCACACCGCCACGGATACACCAGCCATGACGAATGGGCAGGACACAGCAATGCGATTTCCAAGGAAGAGGATCAGCTCCGCTCGGGTTTGAATGGGTGTGACGATAGCTTAAGGGGGGACCTGCGAGGGCTTATATGAGAGAGAAGCAGAAGAAGCGGAGGAGGAGGAGCAGGAGGAGCAGGAGAGCAAGGCTTGGCGAGATGGGGGGCAGGGCAGGGAAGGGGAAGAGAGGATCGATAGATCGTTTGTTGGTGAGATTCACCCCAAATAATCCGGACAGATTTCCCTCCTGCGGCTACAGCATCTGATCTCGCAAGATTACCTCCTCCTCAAACTGCTCCACTGAATCATCGTTTGCCCACGAGGCAGTTCAGCCAAGAAGGCCGCCCTCCTCCCTCCTCGATCAGCTCAGCTCGGCTCACGCAGCAGGGCCGTCATAGCCTGCTGTCCTTCGCGGTCTCCTCAACCTGCCCAGTCCAGCCCAGTCCCACTTCGGCGTTGCGTTGCGTTGCTTGCTTGCTGCCTGTTCTGCTACGAGAGGGAGCTCAACCATCCCCCGCGCCGACCCGGGCTCCGGTCACCGCACCCCATTCTCCTTTACCGTTCCTTTTCCCTGTTTCGTCTGTACTGCTTCCTTTTCTCTATTTGGCTCTTTTGCTTCGTGAGGCAGTTAGAACTACTTTTTCTTTTCTTTTCGACTGGCGAAGATTGTGTGTGCACTGGAGAAAATCTGTAGAGGATTATACTTTTTCTTCTGAGGGCGTGAATTTGAAACCAAGGTTACGTGGGCCTGGAGCTACCTGTGAGATTAAACTGTGTATTAAGAATAATATAGTCTGTGTGCCTTGCATTGATAGATATCTTTTCGTGCAGGATGTTTAGCTCCATCTGCGAGCTTAATTTATCCGCGGATGATGATGCCCGTACAACGGCATGTGTAACTGCTCGGGAATCAAATCCACATTCCCTTAGAACTGGCTCCTTTGGCCATTTTTCTGTTGGAAAATGAACCTTTGGCTCTCACAAAAACTCTGCCTTTCCATTTGTCGCTGATGTGTGTTAGTGTAACATGAGTGAGATGCGCTGATGTGTGTTAGTGTAACATGAGTGAGATGGATAGATGTAATCGTGGATGGATGCGGGTATGGATGAACGAGTGGGTAGTGGATGGATGAAGCCAGCCAGCAGAGATGGCTGCTAGCTCTGGAAGAGGGGGCAGTGGCAGTTACTGAGCTTGGAAGGGAGGGAGTAGGGGAGGGGAACGGGGTGGAGGGAACAAGGGAACGGAGAAGGGGAGCGGGGGGCCCTGATCTTCTAGACGATTCTTTGATCCATCATGATGACGAGGATTGTTGCCGATTACTCTCCCATGATGATTCCCATTTCGAAGCCCATCATGACTCCCACCCAATTCCCCTCCCAAGACCCCCCCTCCCTCTCTCGAAGTCCACCACCCCTCTTGCCCCTCTCTCATAATACCCCTCTTCCCCCAAGTCCTGCCCCCCCCCCCCCCTCCTTCATTCCTTCTTACTTATCATAATAGCCCCTCCCCCACAAAGGGGCCAAGAATGGCCAAATCCGTTTTGCATTGTGTGAGAGTCACATTGCTAATGCCTAGTTTGCTCACACCTTAAATGTGACCCTCCACTCCCTCTTGTTCTCACGCATCTTACAAAGTACACTATTACAAGCATTTCAAATGTATACAAAATATGAAACAAGAATGGGCATTATACATCATTTTTTCCAAGGTAGCAGAGTAATTACATTTTTCAGTACTGAAGGGAAAAAAAAAAAAAAAAAAAAAAAAAAAGACATAAAAATCTTGATTAAAATGTGGGTCTGAAGTTAAGTTTGACTTATTTTCTTAATCATTAAGAGAGAAATTTAGGCATCTCATTGTGTTTATGTTTGAGCAATTGGTTTTTACTCTGTAGTCTTCCATCTGATGAGAGAAATCAAATTTCCAAGTGAAATTTCCATGGTTTTGCATGTGGGTTTTTAAAGTATTTTAATACAAAAATACAAAAATCGATTTATTTGATACTATTTAGCTATGTAGTAATATGTTTGAAATTTAAAAAAATTGCGACTGCAAATTGGGTTTCAAAATCACTTTATATTTTGGTTGTTCTCTGGCAACTTACAAAGTAGAATTTTACCTTGTGTTAAGCTTGCAAATCTAAACAGGTGAATTATTTGGCTTAACAGTTGAAAAGGTGCTACCATTTGGAAAAATCAAATTTTTTATTGAAGCTTCATTACAAAAAAAAAAAAAAAAAAAAAAAAAAAATGTAGTTTTGTAATAAGAGATTGAAAAGATTCTTAGAATTACTTTATACATGATTTATAAAAGTATTAAATCAATAGCTGTTATTGGTTAGAATATGTATCCTAAATGAATTAACTTACTATTTATTTTTGTAAATAAGTATATCAGCATTACTGTACCAATTTTCCAAATTAACAGTTCTTTCTTTTTATTATTGAAATTTAGAAATTGAGTACTTTTGCCATCTTAAACTACTTATGGTATTAATGTGAGATGTAAAAAAATCAAAAAATTAGTGATTGATAATTTTGTATATAATTTTCTTTTTATTTTCTTTTACAAGTAGGAAAACTTCTTTAAAATAAATCACATGCTTAATTTTTTTATATAAAAGTAAATGAATTCAATCTTTGACACTAAGATTTTTCAAGAAATTGTTTACTTTTATATTACATCAAAAATGATAATAATAATAATAATAATTATTATTATTATTATTATTATTAAAATATCTCAGAAAAATTATAAATCATCTTAAACATTTGTAATGCATCTTTTGATTTCTTATGATTTATCAAACTCCCTCAGATTAAAAGAATAATGCATAGATTTTGAGAGCATCCATTCTTCGTTCTTCAAAGGCTTGAGCAATTAAATATTAGGCTTTCAAAGCTTATTGAATACACAACCTAAAATAAAAAAATAATTATAAATATTCATTAATACACACACACACACACACACACACACATATCTATATATATATATATATATATAGCATAATTGAGAGAGAGGATTTTGATTTTCACACATTTGATGACGAATTATTTAGATTATTCTCTTTAAAGATTCTAACACCTATTCAACAAGAATTTGTGTATATCAATAAAGCATTTATCATACAATAAATTTTTACCACATAAATGTTGTTGAAGTAATTAAAATCTTTAAAAGTGAAAAAAAAAATTAAAAAAACTGTTATAGTATCACAAAAATAAATAAATATTTTTTTAAAATATAAATATTAGTCGTTAATTTTTTAAAAAATATATTCAGAGATTCAATCTTGTTAAAATTACAATTTGTTCTTACTATGTGAGCTTAGCACGTTCAAAGCTGAAGATTTTTCTAATATTTATTGTTCACTAGATTTTGGCTTTTTCAAATCGATTAAAAGTACCATAATAATAAAATTAGATGCTAGTTGTTGATAATTATTCTATTGAAAGGACGGCAATCAATTTTCTTCGATAAAAATTATATTTTTTATTACAAAATAAAATGCAAAAGGTTAGAAATTAACATTTTTATCACTATATAAAAATAAAGATCTTTGTAATTTAATTTCATGTATTTTCTAAAACAATTATGTGAACATGTAAATTATGCTTTACAAATTATAATGTTTATATTCTTATACTTTTATGTATGTTCAAAGGAAACAGAAGTGATATATATTTGTGTTTATATATATATATATATATATCAAACTCATAAAGTAAGTAATTTTCTAAGAAATTAGTAGAAAAGAATGAAAATTAATAAAAAAAAAAATCTAAGTGATGTCTATTCATGAAATTTCTACATAATTAGTATCATTAGTTTAAATATTTGTAACATATATATATATATATATATATATACACACACACAAATTATAAAACCCATTATATTAAGTATTATTCTATACTTAGGTCTAAACTTTATGATTGCAAGAAGATTAAATAAAAAATAAAAAATAGCCATAGTACTAGAAATATTTAAAACTACTTTTGGCTTGATAAGAATTGGATATTGATTTCATGTTTTCTATTGTTCTTTTAACATATTTATATTCTAACTTTTTCTACTACCTATTCTTATGTTGTTAGTCTTAAATACATACCATTTATTTTCTTCAAAATTATTAGTCTTTTGGACATATATTTACCATTAAAATCTTATATATAAATACAAATATTCAATTGACAATTTACACTTGATTAATTTGTAATTGTGATTCAAAATTATTTTATAATATTTATGCTTGTTTTTTTTATTGTTAGTTCAACAATATTAGCTTTGAATTGTAATTTTTCTATTTTAATGCGTCTGGGAACCATTCCCACAATACTAAGGTATTGAGATATTTTTTATATGACCTTGCAGTCAATACTAAAAAATGAGGTTGTTGCATTTTTCAACTAAATTAATATTTTTTACATTAATGTGAATCAAATGTATATAATTAACACACAATAATGTTTTTATTATAAAAAACACAATTATTTTAAAAAATCAATAGACTTGCAATGCCAATAAGCAAAAATTAAATTATATATATATATATATATATATATATATATATTTTTTTTTTCTTTTTTTTTCTTCTTATGAAGATAATCTTTTTGTTATTAAGATAATAACAAAAAATAATCAAAATAAACAACTACAGGAAAATATTACAATTTGGATGGATGAAACCAACAAGATTATGAAATCATAAATATACACTCACACACTCCCATAAAAGCAACTGACATCTTCCCCTACAGAGTCAAGACAATTCCACTCAAAAATCCAATGTCAAAAATGTCCCACCACAAGAAACAAAGTATACATTCCATAATACAAATTGCAAAAGTCCCCACTGATCCAGGTCAATTCTGTGCTGTAATGAACTCTGTCCTAAATCTGTGAAACACCAAGTGCATGTGTGGCTGGCACTGCCCTAGAGTTGAGCACCTGGCAAGGAGTGGGTAACTAAACCCAGGTATGAACATGATATCTACAGGGGTATAGGGGAGTGTGTGGAAATTGGGGGGGGGGGTGTGTGGTGTGCCATGACCCCTGTGGAAGCATGATAGGTTTGGAGAGGCTGCATCCATTCAAGCACTCATGGGGCATTATGCTATTGTGTGTATTTTGAGTACCACCTTCCGTTTGTGGGCTTTTTCTCTTCCACTTGGGAAATCATGCTTCCTTCACCTTCATTCAAGCGTGGGCTTTTCCTCATTCTAGTTAAAGTGTTGGGCTTGTAATTCACATCATTGCACTTGTTTATGGGAAACCTTATGCCATCTTGCTTTGCAATCCCCACACTCAGTGATTGATTATAAGCTCCATCCATCTATCCATCCATTACCCCCTTACTTTTATCCTAACTAACCCTCCTCCACCTAATTATCATCATCATCATGTGTGGGTTTGGATTTAAGAATGGGAATTAATTGTAGAAACTTCAGCACATTGTCCAATTTGAACAATAAT